CGGAAAACACATATTTTCGATGGTCTTAGGAACCGAGACACCGCTCCTCTATCCATCTCCAGGCCCACATGCAGATACGCGCACATACGAGTACCCGGCGACCCCTGTGAAAGGGTCGTTCGACCCCCAAAGAGGTTGCGACCCACAGGTTGAGAACTGCTGCTCTAGGGGATGCTAGCTGTAAAGCCAGTTGTTAGGACATTCAGGCAATCCTGTGGAGAGGCCCATGTAAGAAGAAACTGAAGCTTTCTGACAACAGTCAGCAAGGAGCTATCAAAAGCCATGTAAGTGAGCCATCTATCTTAAAGCAGATGTTCCAGTCCCAGTCTAGCAAGGCCAGCAGCTTGACTGCAACCTCATGAGAGACCCTGAGCGAGAACCACACAACTAAGCTGCTTCCAGGTCTGTGAGCCTCAGAAACTGTTTGAAATAATGTTTGTTGTTTTAAGCTGCTAAGTTGTGGCGTGATTTGTGATGCAGAAATAGATAACTAACACAATACCACACCACCCTGCCAAAGAACAGAATATTCATTATCTAGAGAAATTGAATTGAAGAAGCTTTAGACACAAGGATGTAAAGAAAAGCAGATGACAAAGAGAGACACCACACTGCAATCAGGGGGATTAAATAAATTGTGGGACTTTATCACTGCTGGACCTAAAAAATTCTGGTAGTCAAAAGATGAGAAGTCTCTTCTCTGGAGAAACATTACAGCCCAGGAGAAAACCTATAATACTAATATTTGGGGGCTCACAAAGAATTGTCTGAATTCTTGACCAATAATAGTTCTATAGTGAAGCTCACAAGTCGACAAGCCCTCATTACATATACAGATATTATACTCATTTTTTTAGTGTATCATTAATAAAAGATGAATGGGCAGCTATTAATCAGCAAACTAGGGAAAACAGTAATATGTAAATGTGATGTAAAACTAGTAATATGAAAGACATATTAATGTGAAAATAGTTAAAACAAAAATCTAAGGACATGGATATAGGTAAGGAACAGGAAAAGACATTAAAAAATAAAATTAAAAAAACCTGTAGGGCCGGCCGAATGGCGCGATGGTTAAGAACTGGCTTGCGACGCCAGAGGGCCCCAGTTCGGATCCCACGTATGAGGGCCAGTGACACTGCCCTCCACAGCTAAGATACTGAACAACAGCTCAACCTGGAGCTGGGCTGCTGTGAGTTGCCGGCGACGGCGTAGGCTGCAGCCCCTGTGGCAGTGGGTTGCCATGGGCTACAATATGTAGCCAGCAGCCAGCGTGAGCGGTCAGCAGCCGCAGTGAGCGGCCGTCCAGAAGCCGGCGACTGATCTGCCTCGGCCGGGAAGAGCGCAATGATGGTGCCAACTTGGGCCAGTGAAGCAACGTCCTCCACAACTAGACTGAAGAACAAAACGACAGCAACTTGTCTGTTCCCCTTCCCCCAATTCCCCAGCACTGTTCCCTTCCCCCCAATACCCCAATAAAAATCTTTAAAAAAACAACAAAACAAAACAAAAAACCCTGTAAAAACACAGAGAGGGCCGGCCGAGTGGCTCAGTTGGTTAAGAGCTCGCTCAGGAGTTTGAGCTCTGAGCAACAGCGGTTTGATGCCCGGCCCAAGCTGAGCAGCCGCTAAGTTGCCAATAGGTAGCAGGATGGCTCAGCTAAAAAAAAAAAAAAAAAAAAGCACAGAGAGATAAGAGAAGATATATCAAGGAAATAACAGGTACTATAAAAGCTGCTCTTGGAAATTAAAAATAAGATAGCTAGTTTTTAAATTTTAACAGCAGAAATGGGAAATAGAGTTGCAGAAATCACCCAATTGTAGGGGGGAAAAGGAATTTTAAAACTAGGTGATAAAAGATGAGAAAGATAACAGATAAAATCAGGAATTTCAACAGTCAACTAAAAGAAGTTCCAGAAAAAGGGAGGAGAAAACTGAATGGAGGAAAATTTCAGAGAACAAATATAAAGAGATTTGTAGAAATACAGGTCATGAGTCTTAAAAATAAAGAGGTCCACTGAGTACCTTGTACAATGAACAAAAAAGACCCCTACCAAAGCACATCTTTGTGAAATTTCAGAAAACTAGGTATGAAGATCAAATGGTTCCAAAGAGAAAGAAAAACAAAACACAAATCAAACTGTCATCATACTTTCAGATAAAAACTGTAAAAGTACAAACTTACAGTGGTAAGATAAATAAATTCTGGGGATGTAATGTACAGCATGGTGACTATAGTTAACAATACTGAATGGTATTTCAAAGGAAAAAAATTGTAACTGTGTGGTGATAAATGTTAACTTATTGTCGTGATCATTTTGCAATACAAGCATATACATGTATCAAATTATTATGTTGTACGCCTAAAACTAATACAATGTTATATGTCAATGTTATATGTCAATTTGTATTATGTCAAAATTAAAAAAAATTTTTTTTAAAGAATGCAAATACTCAGGCCCCACTCCAGACCTTAATGATTAGATGGTGGTGGCGCCCAGCAATCTGTCTTTTAACAAGCTCTCCAGGTGATTCTGATGTTCCCTAAGGTTTGAGAATCACTACCTTAGACATTATTGCCACTATGCTTATTTGAAGCTAAGTCTTCTCCCTTCTTACCAGGGGTAATCACTTTCCTGTAACATGTTAATCATTGCCTTGATTTTCCTTATAAGTTTCCCACAGCTATTTATCTTCATTTAGTTTCCTTGTTTTACATTTATAAAAATACAATCACTGAGATGTAAGAAAAACAACAACAACAACTCTGTAAGCTAGAAGACAATGGTATAATTCTCTTGAAATTCTAAGGGAAAACTCTGTCCAACCTAAAATCCCAAATCTAGTTAAGCTATCATCCAAAATAGGTAGAATAAAGGAGTTTTTAGACTTGTAAAAGCCCCCAAATTTTACTCCAAATTAACCTTTCTAAAGGTGATAGTTGAGGAATTTATTTTTTTTACAAAAATGAGGGGCTAAACCAAGAAGAAAAAAAAAAGACATGAACTCCAGAAAATCAGAGACTGATCATAAGAAAGAGGTGAAGGAAATTCCTAAGATGATCATGTGCTGGCTATTTACTTATTATTGTCTTTCAGTCCCACACTGAACCTTATATATGTTTCTCTGTAATGTTGGCACTGGGAGGCTGGAAACTACATTTCCCAGGCTCCTTTGCCAGTTGACCTTCTTTTATTTATTGACAAATCCAAAATACTCATTAATTAACTCTACAGTGAAGAAACCTCACAGACACCATTTTAACTAAGTAAATTATCACCAGTAATGGAACAGATTGACATTGTGTGTCTCCTCATAGGATAAACTGAGACAAGCATAGCATTACTTATGTTCCTCCCCAAAATGTGTAAATAATGAGGAAACATCAAGTAAATCCAAATTGGAGAACATTATACAAAATTAACCTGTACTCTTTGAAAATGTTAAGATTGTGAACAGGTGAGATAAACAGAAAGCAAATAGTAAGATGGTAGATTTAAACCCAAATATATTAGTAGTTTCATTAAATGTATAGAGGAGAGTATGTGTTTATATACTTGGGTGCCTGGGACAGAGAAAACCAAGATCTCACAACATATTACTTTGCAATCTTCCTTCTTGCTTTAAAAGCATGTTGAATATGCATGCTAATACATAAAATAAGCATATCTATTTTAACATAAAAACTAGTTTATGTTCTTTATCAACACAGTACGGAACGAGATATCAGGTCTCACCTGGACTCACGGAATGACAAAGATAAAAATGTCAGGTCAGTGTTTCATCCCCTGTGTATTCTGAGTGCTAGCTATCACCTACAGAAATATCCCGAGCGGCAGCATTGGTTTCGGTGGTCCCGAGCGGCAGCATGGGTTTCGGTGGTGTGTAGAGCGCCCCTGAAAGCTGTTAGAATGTTTGTGTGAGCAAGAGTGACTCCATTTTCAACATGCGCAGAGAACTTAGCAGATAATGCCCAGGGAGCTGCCGGGTTGCCTGTGTTATTGGGTGTAAACAGTTACACTCCCAAGGTCTGCTACTGAAGATGAGGACGGCAGGGTAGCCAGCTGGCTGCCTTGATTAGTGGCATCTGAAAGGTACTCAGAACTGCTTAAGAACTGAGGACTTTTGCAGCTCAGAGAGCCGGTCTCTACTGAGGTGAGCACGTTGTCACTCTGCTCCAAGAACCCTCTACTCTGCTCTGCTGAGACAGAACCTCTGCAAGACTGACCTCCCAGACCAGCCACCCTTCCTCGCTCTACCAGGACTCAGACTGACTTTGGCACCGGTTCGTTACTCTATTTTATCCAATTATTGTATTACTCTATGTACTTTACTGTGTGGTGTATTTGATGATTGATGCTTACTGTTCGGTGTGTTGGTGATTGATGTTTGAGTAAAGAACATATAGAAGTGCATTTAAGGGCCGGCTGAGTGGCTCAGTTGGTTAAGAGCTCGCTCAAGAGTTTGAGCTCTGAGCAACAGCTGTTTGATTCCCGGCCAGAGCTGAGCAGCTGCTGAGCTGCCAACAGGTGGCAGGATGGCTCAGCTTAAAAAAAAAAAAAAAGGTAAATAAATAAATAAAAAATTAAAAAAAGTGCATTTAAGATCTTGCGTCCTCTGTTCTTCGCTAGTGCCTCAGCTATGGGGGGCGGGGGGGGCATCAGTCAGTGTCAGGTAGATCCTGGGGGGTCCAAGGATCTCTCAGGGGTTAGTCCCCTTGACTTGCAGGAAGAGACTGCAACACGGACTGTGAGCCTAGCAGTCAGTCGTGACTAGTGGCTAGTACCAAACTTGGAGCTGACGAGAATCAGTTCGCTTGCATTCCGGCAGAATTGGCTGCTTTTCTGAGCGGGACTACATTTCCCATAGGCCCCGCAGCTCCGCGAACCGCGAACCGGACGTCTCGTCCTGGGTGGACCAGTGGCAACCAAGCCGCCAGGGATGAGTAGGACTAGCATCTTTAGCTGGCCGACGCGCTCCAATCTGCGAGCCGCTCAGCGTCGGGGTCTTGATGTTCTGTTTGGTTAGGAGAAGCCGTAGATGAGCTCAAGCAAGGCTTCTACGCGCCGATGAATCCGGATGCCCGTCGTGCGCCTCTGGACATCATTTCCCAGAGTACACCGCAGGCCGGCGCTACGTCTCGCGGGATTTCAGCCGCGTCTTTACAGATTGGCGGGACTGTTGGTTTCGCGGATTTAGCCTTTGGTGTCCGGCGCGATTTGGCCATTTTGGACCGGACCGGAACTAGGGAAGGACTAGGGTGAGGAGTCAGAGTGAGAATACTTTCGTGTCTGGGGCGGGCTGGTGGGCCGGTCCTTTCGTGTCCTGAGCGAGTTGAAGAGAGATCATCTGTGTGTGAGAGATTGTGATTGCTACTGTTTGTCTTCGTGGTATGTGATTGTGAGTGCATGTGGTGGTAGCTCTGGGTGATGGAGTAGAGTGCTTGCGACTGTGTGTGTTCCCAATAAACTTGGATAGAGAGAGTTTCCTACTATACACCCCAAAATTTCTTTTTTTAGTATTGTGCTGTAGAGAAACTCTGATACATAAATACGGAGATGTGTACCATAATGTTTGCAGTGTGATTTCTGGCAGCCAGAAATTACCAGCATGACTGTGCGCCATTGTGCACGGGGATGTAGACGGACGATGATTGTGCGGTTGAGACTGGATCCCTGTGGTGGGTTTGTGACTGTGCGGCACCGTGTGTGTGTGTGTGTGTGTGTGTGTGTGTGTGTGTGTGTGTGTGTGAGATTGTGGTTGTCTGGCTGTGGGGCAGTGGGTAGGTGCGTGTGGAGAAAGCCTGTGGCAGTGCGATTAGGACTTTGTATGCCCCCTAGGTGGTTATATAGGATTATAAGTAACCAGGGAGACTTGGTTCAGAACTATGTGTTCACATGGGGGAGGGGGAGTTGTGATTATGCAAGTGTGACTTCATCACTCTACCTAGGAGACTCTGTGAGCTCATGATAGATTCTGGCCCCACCCTGTAACTACCTTGGGCTGTACTCTTCAGTCTTCCCTGACCTTCCTCTGTACTTGTATGTAGGTGTGGGTGGAGAGGGACTGAAGGGTTCCAAGAAAAGCCAAGTATCTCAAGTTGTTCTTCTTTCCACAGGTCTGTCACTAAGAGGAAGAGGAAAGAATGGTTATTGAACAGCCAAAAGCCAAGATCAAGGTGCTTTGGGTTTTTTTTTCTTCTCTGAAATCTTTCTTGTTTTTCAGAACATAATTTTTTTCCTGTTCTGATAATTCCCAGTGACCAAAATCCCGTTCAAGACACCTTGTCCTGAGTACTTCCCATTTGGATTCATGATGGGTACCTGAGGATAGACCCAAAAATCCAGTTTCCTCTATATCTGCCCCATCTTAGTATTATTTTGACAGTTTCTCCTGTCAAAATCTCTAAGGATCTCTAAGATCTCTATTGGCCGAGTGAGGAAAATGTAAGAGCCTTTATCATAACAACTGAATTGTTGAAAATAAGATTAGTGCATATGTAGCATCACACATCACAGTCCTAGTATTAAAAGCCATGCAGTTTATAGGCTGGTGTTTATTAGTAGTTCAAATAGGTGATAGGATTGTTCACTTTGCCAGTATTTTTAGAGTAGGAATGAAATTGAGGGCTTGATCAGAGTTCTAGACCAGTAGGACCAGGTAATCTATACCAATTTGCCAGGTAATCTGTTAGTAAACACTTAGACCAGTTTCCAGGTCTATTTTGAATTGAATGCTCAAGTCGTCCTCATTAGGGTTCTCAACCTGGAATCCTTGGACCCCATCACTGGATTTCTAAACGGAAGGAAGACTGGATTGATATTTATTAAGGTTTATAAAAAGGTAGAACCATGGACAGATCTAAAAGTAGAGAGTATAACACCTTGGGACAGCCCTTAAGATAGTAATATCCAAAATTAGTTTTCATAAATAGGGGAATTTTAAGTCCCGCCAAAAGATGGCATTTTATGCAGTTGATTAAAACTATGAGATAGAGCATATGTATTTTCATTATGACTAACATTAAGTAACAGTAAAATAAATAGAAATACTCAAGAAATTGTTATATTTAAATCTCTCCCCTATTTTTTTAGGAAGAAAAGTATTTTATAAGAGGGCCAAAGAAATGGGAGGTCCTCAGAACTGTCCCATTTGCAGCTCAGTAAATGTCAAATCAATTCTTAGAGTCAAGCTCTTCAGAAGCTCCCTGGAGATTCACACAAAGGAAAAGAGATGCTCAAAAAGGCAGATTGTGAATAATAGGGGGAAACTATTATCAATCAGAACTAGGCTCCATTACTTCTCTTGTATCACACCCTTAAAGAAACCCCTCTGAATAGGATTTAGCCTTTTGTCTTCCACCTAGAAGATGATGACCACCCCCATGAATACTTACTGCCTCTGAAATGGCAAAGATTTTCTTCTCCAGAGGCCTGTGTTCTCATGTTGCCCTGGTGGGGTGGCGATGGGGGAGGAGCAAAGAAAGGGGGAGATCAGGTAATCAAAATACTGTCGGTGGACAGCATGTACACAGGCAATATCCGACATTTTAAACTTAATACAGTAATTAATTAGATTATAAAATATTCAACATTTACAGTTTGGAATTCTAGCTAGACTTAATTTATTGGGAGCAAGAGGGCCGTTCCAGATAGTGGAGAGAAAGGGGATAAGCCTGTGCCCAGATGAGTGAGGGGGAACTCAGAAGTTGGAAGCCTTGCATGTGAGAATTCAGCTGGTCCATGTGTAGGCTATATTCATCTCTCATTTAATCTGTTGCAGTAGCCTTTAATTGATCCCCCTTCATTGCCTGCCTAAAATTCCTTTTAACACAGCAGCCGAGGAGATTTTTCCAAAATGTAAGTCAGTTTGTGTTACTCTTTGACTTAAAACTTTCTGTGACTTTCCATCTTACTGAGAATAAAAACCAAAGTTTCTACAGTGGTTTAACATAGCCATATGTGACCTGGCTCTCTCTTACCTCTCTGACTTTATCTTCTATAATTTTTCTCTTAACTTAATTCTGCCCCCTCTGCATTTGAGCTGGCTGATTCCCCTGCCTGGGATATTTTTACTCCTGATTCCCACATCACTTACTCCTTCAATTCTTCAAGACATTCCTCATATGTCTCCAAATTGGAGAAACCTTCTTTGACCACCCTATATAAAATAGCATCTCAACCAACATACTTTGTATCATCCTTATCCTATTTTATTTTTCTCCATAGCTTTTATCATTTTTTAATGAGATATAATTGACATATATTAGTTTCAGGTATACACCATAATTACTCAATATTGGTATATGCTGTGAACTGATCACCTCAGTAAGTCTAGTTAACATCCATTACCACAGATAGTTACAATTTTTTTTCATCCGATGAGAACTTTTAAGATCTATTCTCTTAGCAACTTTCAAATATACAATATTATTAACTCTAGTCACCAAACTGTATATTACATCCCTAGGACTTATTTTATAACTAGAAGTTTGTACCTTTTGACCACCTTCAACTGTTGTGCCCATCCTCCACCCCCTGTACTCCTGGCAACCACCATGTTGTTGCAAATAACAGGATTTACTTTTTTTTTTTTTTAGCTGAGCCATCCTGCTACCTGTTGGCAGCTCAGCTCGGGCTAGGAATCAAACTGTTGCTCAGAGCTCACACTCTTGAGCGAGCTCTTAACCAACTGAGCCACTCAGTCGGCCCAGGATTTACTTTTTTATGGCTGAATAATAGTCCATTGTGTGTGTATGTGTATCACATTTTCTTTATCCATTCATTCATTGATGGACACTCAGGTTGCTTCCATGCCTTGGCTATTGTAAATAATGCAGCAGTGAACATGGGGTACAGAGATATCTTTTGGAGTTAGTATTTTTGTTTTCTTTAGATAAAACCCAGAAGTGAAATTGCTGGATCATACGGTAGTTCTATTTTTAATTTTTTTAGGAACCTCCATACTATTTTCCATAGTGACTGCACCAATTTACAGTCCCACCAATAGTGCACAGTGTCCCTTTTTTTCCATATCCTCACCAACACTTGTTATTTTTTATAATAGCTATTATAATAGATGTGAGGTAAAATCTCATTGTGGTTTTGATTTGCATAATATATATACAAGGTGTGATCAAACAATGCAATGAATGTTTAAATAAAAACAATTTATTACAGTAAAAGACACATTATCATTAACCTCCCTCAAAATACTTCCCCTCACTTCGAACACACTTATCCCATCGTTCTTGCCACTCTCTGAAGCAGTTCTGGAAGTCCTCTTTCGTGAGTGTCTTTAGCTGCTCTCTTGTGGCTGCCTCGATGTCCTGAATTGATTCAAAACATTTTTCTTTCATGGTCATTTTGACTTTGAGGAAGAGCCAGAAGTTGCATGGTGCCAAGTCGATGAATAAGGTGGATGAGGACACACTGTAATTTTTTATTTGACAGAAATTGCTGTACCAGAAGCGATATGTGACATAGAGTGTTGTCATGATGGAGGATGAAGTAAGGCCTGAAAGAGGACTTTCAGAACTGCTTCAGAAAGTGGCCAAGAAGGATGGGATAAATGTGTTCAAAGGGGGGGGGGGGGAGTATTTTGAGGGGGATTAATGGCAATGTTTCTTACTGTAAGAAATTTTTTTATTTAAACATTCACCATACTTTTTGATCATATATCTATATATCTATAGTTATCTGTCTATCTCCCATCTATAACAAAGTCTAAAGTATATCTATGTGGTGTTCCAAGGACGGTGAGAAGGTAGACAGGGAATTTAGTATTGTTTATTAGTGTAGCAGTGTCAGAATAGGCTAGGTCATGCTGTGTTAAGAGCACCCAAATATCAGTATCTTAACATGGCAGGTTTATTTCTCATTCATACTACATATCCATCATGGGCTTTTTAAGAGTGTGTCTATACTCTTGTGTTGGTTCCTATCTAGTTCGTGTGGCCAGGTACTCAACGTCTTGCTGTTTCTGGCATGGGTTGGGGAGCCCCTTCTTAGATTTAGTGGTTCATAATACAGACAGAGAAGCCAAGTGATTTTGTATTTCAGCCTGATATATACTAGAAGCCTCTGGAAGTCTTTGTCTAGGTGTGGAACATGTGCAAGCATATTGGGTTTTTAGCTTGAGGACTCCCACCTTTGACCTCGGCGGTAACTTGGGTAACTGCTTGAGGAAACTCGGCTGTACCTGCAAAGGGGAGCTGTATGGGGCCATGTTATTATCATACCTACCTGAGGTCCAGATCAACATTGAGATTAGTGTAATGGTCTGTCTGAATCCCTGCAGGGGTGCCCAGGCCTCTCTCAGTGCTGGAGCATATCTGCCCTGGATCTACCCTGTTCTTGTTCTTGAGTTCCACCAGCTTAGGGAAGGGCTGGGATTTGTATACCCCTTTAAATTCCAGAGGGAGGGGAGGGGGGAGAGAGTTGCGGGGAGATAGGGGTAGGCAGCATAGTAAAGAAATTGCAAGGGGAGTGTGGAGTAATTTTGAGCATATCTGGGAGTTATTTTTTCCTTCTGCACAGCTGCATTCTTGGGGTGCTGTACTTTTCCAAAAGAAGAAGCTAAATATATACAACTCAGGTTTATAATTTTTTTTATTAGTTTCAGGTGTATAAAACAATGCAGTAGTTATACTTTTCACCCCTCACAAAGTGACAACCCCCCTTCCCCAATCCAACCCCCCACCCCCCAATATCATTCATATCTATTACAATTCCATTGACTCCACTCCCCACACTATACTTCACATCCCGTGACTCAGCTTCAGCTGTGCAGTGCGGTGGTCAAGCCTCTACACAGTTTATAAAGTGGTCTCCCTAACAAGAAATGTGTCCATCTGACACCCTACAAAATACAACATTATTAATTATATTCCCCAAACTGTCTTTCATATCCCTGTGGCAACATTGTAGTTACCTATTTTTGCTGTCTAATCCCTTCCCTTTCTCCTCTTCCCCACCCCCCTCCCAACTAGCAACCATCAGTTGTTCCTCTATATCTCTCTGAGACTATTTCTGTTTACATTTCTCGTTTATTCAGTTTTTTAGATACCACATATAAGTGAGATCATATGGTATTTGTCTTTCTCCGACTGACTTATTTCACTTAACATAATGTTCTCTAGGTCCATCCATATCATTGCAAATGGTGAGATTTCATTCTTTATAGCTGAATAATACTCCATTGTATAAATGAACTAGTTTCTTAATCCAGGCATCTACCGATGGGCATTTCCATTGTTTCCAAATGTTGGCTATTGTAAATAGCGCTGCAATAAACATAGGGGTGCATATGTTGTTTTGAATTAGCGTCTTAGGTTTCTCTAGATAGATACCTAAGAGTGGAATTGCTGGGGTCACAAGTTAGTTCCATTTCCAGTTTTTTGAGATACTGCCATATTGATTTCCCGTAATGGTTGCACCAGTCTGCAGTCCCACCAACAATGCACCAGGATTCCCTTTTCTCCACAGCCTCACCAGCACTTGTTTGTTGATTTATTGATGATAACCATTCTGACTGGAGTGAGGTGGTATCTCATTGTAGTTTTTATTTGCATTTCTCTAATGATTAATGAGGTTGAACATTTTTTCATATGCCTGTTGGCAATCTAGATGTCCTCTTTAGAGAAATGTCTCTATATCCTCTGCCAATTATTTAATTGGGTTGGTTTTTTTTGGTGTTGAGTTGAATAAGCATGTTTATAATTTTAAAGGCATGTTCCAAGTAAGTTATTTCTTCTCCCTTGAAATAGAGTGTCTTTTTTAAAAGCTTTTTTTATTGAGATATATTTAACATTAGATACTTTCGGGTGCCCAACATAACAATTAGATATTTGTATATATTGCAAAATGATCACCATAATAAGTCTAGTTAATATGTTACCATACATAGTTACAAGTTTTTTTAATTTCTTGTGATGAAAACTTTTAGGATCTACTTACTCTTTTAGCAACTTTCAAATATTCAGTACAGTATATTTTTATTAAATATATTGGTATGACATTGGTTAATACCATTATATAAGTTTAATTTATTTTATTTTATTTATTTTTTTAGCTGAGCCATCCTGCCACCTGTTGGCAGCTCAGCTCAGGCCGGGCATCGAACCGCTGTTGCTCAGAGCTCAAACTCTTGAGCGAGCTCTTAACCAACTGAGCCACTCGGCTGGCCCCCATTATATAAGTTTTAAGTGTATATTGCATTGTGTGCTCATACCCAAAGTCCAGTATCCTTTCATCACCATATATTTGACCTCCTTTACTGTCTTCAACCCACCGCCCCCTTACCCTCTGGTAACCACTATACTGTTGTCTGTGTCTATGAGTTTGTTTTGTTTGTTTGTTGCTTTCTGTTATATATCCCACATATAAGTGAAATCATATGGTTCTTGTCCTTTTCCATCTGACTTATTTTGCTTAGCATGATACTCTTAGGATCCATCCATATTGTTGCAAATGGCAGTATTTCATCCTTTCTTATGGCTGACTAGTATTCATAGTATGTAAGTACCACATCTTCTTTATCCAATCATCTATTGAAGGACATTTAGGTTGTTTCCATATCTTAGCTACCATGAATAATGCTGCAGTGAGCATATGGGTATTTATATCTTTAAGAATAAATGTTTTCAATTTTTTTTGGTAGATATCCAGAAGAGGGATTGCTGGGTCATATGGGTTTTATGAGGAACTTCCATACTATTTTTTATAGGTGCTGTACCAACTTAAATTCCCAGCAGTGTGTGAGGGTTCCTTTTTTTTTCACATCATCTCCAACACTTGTTATTACTTATCTGATTGTTAATAGCCATTCTGTGAGGTGGAATCTCATTGTGGTTGTGATT